AACTTGACATACAGACCATCCCCCAGCACAGCCAAGTGCAGACCATCTCAGACACCTGCACTCAGGCCCATGGTCCTAATCATCCTCTATGCGGACCTGCTGGGTAACGCCACAAAGAACCCAAGAAGGGCTCCCACAGGACATACAGAACATCCCACTGCATTTTCATACTGAAAATAGTGGTTTATGTTGACAATTAAAATGCTGTTCATTTGTCCACTGTGGTGGCTTCAACCTTTCATCCCAGAACTCTGGATGCAGAGGCAGCTAATTCTCTGTGAGTTTGAGGCCAGTCTGGTCTGCATAGTTCCAGGCCATCCAGGGATACAAAGTCATTTCTATCATCCCATTCCTTCTATAAATAACCAGTTTCATTAATTTTTGTTGTAGTGTTATATTTTAGCATTTTATGAAAATGGGTATAAATACATGTATGTGTGCATATACATATTTTTCTCATCTCTATTGATTTGTGTGTTACTCTAAACTGGGTAACATAAGAGACATTTGAATTTATGTTGGATGTCAGAAGCAGCTCAGCTGTGTGCTTCTGACTCAGGGTCTCTCATGAAGTCATAGGGCTTCATTTATGTCAGTGCTTCCCCGGGCTGTGATATCATTGTCCTTAGATGCATAGTTCAGAGAATACTCCTGAAGCTGTGAACAAGAGCCTTTCATTTTAGCTGGAGGCCTCAGTTCCTCATTATATGCACTGTTTTAAGACGTGATCCAAGGGGAGGCACATGAGCTTGATAGGAACAGAAGCTGCATGGTATCTTAATATCAGAAGTCACGTACCATCCTTTCTGCCATAGATTATTGCTCACAAAGACAGGTGAATACCAGGAAGTCTGGGATGGTGGCACCCAGGGCTGTTCTAAGTATGACTATAAGAAGGAAGCATATTACCTGTCCTTTTTTCACCTCTTGTTTTTTTTTTTTTGGGGGGGGGGGAAGAGGGGAGGCAGGGCTTCTCTAGCCCAAGCTGGCCTAGAACTCACTGTGCATCCTAGGCTTACCTCAAACGTGTGGCATTCTTTCTTCCAGTCTCCCAAGTGCTGGGATTACTGGCAAGAGTCGCCAGAGAGATTAAGAAAGTATCTTGATGGGTGTAGCTGTGCAGTCCAGTACTCTGCTCTGACCTCTGCATCCAGTAGCATAATCGTCTACTATGACAACAGTGGTTGATCTGCCTTTCTGTAGACTAGGCTACAGTGACTAGCCTTTTGCATTTCCCATTATGCTATATGTTAGGTGCAAACAGTTTTTAAAACACCTGCCAGTAACCTGTATTTATTTATAAAGTTACATTTCATCCTTTAGAATTTCAGAGTTTGATCAGAAGCATTTCTTTTCAAGCATGCTTAATTTGAATGTTTCTTCTAAATTATTTTTTGTCACTGCTCTTTACACAGATACTGAAATGATTGAAAGAAACACTGCTTCTAATCTAAGCAGGGATTCTGACATTTCAGCATATTAAGGGTGTCAGTATAATTTCAAGAGTTGAAAAATGAGTTTATTATCATGCCTTAAACGTTTTGCTCAAGTATATAAAATATGTAGTACATATTCTAAAAACATGTCAGTTAATTGGGAAACCTGACTTTGACTTTTAGAGTCATTGTAAGTGGTGTTATTTCATGGACTTCTATTTCTAGTTGTGGTCAGCATGTGGCTATTTGACTTATTTGCATGTTGACTGTATGACTTGCATTGATAATTACTAAAAACTATTAAATTATAATAAATTATTAAAATTCTAGGGCACTTAAAAATTCTAGGGCACAGCTCGATTCTTTGAAAAAATTATAAACTGGGAATGGTTTTACAAGTTTATTTTTGCTTTTTTAAAAACTTTTTGGATGAAATGTCAAATCTTAAATCTTGACTGAGATTTATTTTTCCTTTCACTTTTCCTTTAGTGGTATAAATATTTAAGTGTTCCTGTACCCTGGTGATGGAAGATTCAAACAAACAAGCCAAAACTCATATTCGTTTCAAAATTCAGTTCATCTTTTTCTTTCTAATTTAATAGTATTTTATGAATTTTGTGGAAATTTTATGCTGACATAATCATAAATTTTAACAGATAATTGAACACTTGCTCCATTTTCTTTTCCTTTCAGGTATTGGAAGAGTCGCTGCTACATCTCTAGGGAATTTAACTAACCATGGCTCTGAAGATTTACCCCTTCCCCCTGGCTGGTCTGTGGACTGGACAATGAGAGGGAGAAAATACTACATAGATCATAACACAAACACGACTCACTGGAGTCATCCTCTTGAACGAGAAGGACTTCCTCCCGGGTGGGAACGAGTCGAGTCATCAGAATTTGGAACCTATTATGTGGACCACACCAATAAAAGGGCCCAGTACAGGCACCCGTGTGCTCCCAGGTAAAGTAGCAGCTTCATTTTTGGCTTTCTTTTTTTTTTTTTTTTTTTTTTGGTATTTTGAGACAGGGTTTCTCTGTAGCTTTGGAACCTGGCCTGGCCTAGCTCTATAGACCAGGCTGGCCTCGAACTCACAGAGATCCACCTGCCTCTGCCTCCTGAGTGCTGGGATTACAGGTGTGCGCCACCACCACCCGGCCATTTTTGGCTTTCTATTTTGAGAGCATCCCGTGTTAGAGTTTGGTCTCACACATTTGGAAGAGAATAAGCATCTTGAAGTGTAAGATTTTAAATAGTTATTTCTCAAAATTTATACTTATCCTAGATATATTTTAATAATGATTTTAATAACTAGTGAGTTTTTAATTTTTTTTTTTTTCTTTTGGAGCAACCTGAAACAAATGTATCTTTGGATAGATTCCAATTAGAAGAGATGCCAGAATGTTTTGTTGTAGATACCCAAAAATTTAAGTTAAATAAATCACCCGGCTCTTCATCTTAAATTCCCATCGGTCAGACCCACCTCCTAGGAAGTCAATATACTTTGAAATTTTGACATTATCTTGCTGTTTTTAGTCAACTTCAGACACGATTTTATGTTGTTTTCTTACTGAAAAGTTGGAATGGAACAAAACAGTCTAGCTTTTTAATAAATATTACAAGTAATTCTTTGGGCTGTTTTGAATGGCACTTAAGCCTTGTGTTATCCATTATTGTAGCCAGTTGTCATGCGTGGCTATTGAGCACTTGAAACTTGGTTAATCCAATTGAGATTGCTGTAAGTATAAAATAGACACTGTGCTTCAAAGTACATAGAAAACTATATTAACGTAATAGTGAAGAAGCAAATACTTCACATTAGTCATGTTTAAGCTGCAAGAACTGGGTAAAATGGGGAAATGTCATAAGCACATGGAAAGATACTGCCTAGGGTCATCTGGCCTAATACAGTTTGCTGGAAGTCCGTTTTTTCCATTAATTACATTTAGTGGCATTTAGTCAGCTTTATTGAATAACTTAATGAAGTTTTTGAAGAACTAAGACCACGGTTATGTTTGCTGTCATACAGTAGCAATCTGTACAACCAGATTTGAAAGGTCACCTTCTGTTTATCGCACCCTGTATTACTGTAGAGTGTTGATGGTTCGTAAAGCAATTTTCCAGATGATGGTTTCATTTCTCTCTCTGTCTCTGTCTCTGTCTCTCTCTCTCACACACACATACCCAGACACATAAATAATCTTAAAGTAAACTGAACTGTTAACCAGAGTATAATCTAGACCTTATTTTAATGCCAGTTAAGAAAGCAGTGACCTTTTTTTGTATTCACATGTCTTCTGTGTTTGGAGGCAGACTCTTCCGTTTGTCTTTCTGCCTGAACTAGCTAAGTCTGGCTTCCCAGACTTCACTCTGTAGCCTGCAGGCGTTGAGGACTTTGAACAGTACCCTTCTGCGAACATCTCACTCTTATATAACCAGCCTCCCTTCTCAGCTTACACCGGCTGTTAGAGCTAATTGAAACCCGATCCTTTGTCTTTCTGATGATTTCACAGGGGCTCTAGTCAGCACCCAGGTGTTGGCCTGGCCTGGCCCAGTGCCCGTCCTGCTGCACTGCCTACCCCAACCTCACCTCTTCAGTCAGCAGGAAGAAGAAAGACATCTTCCTCTGTTTTGAGCAAAGCTATGGACCTTTCCAGTATATATGCTGGCAAGTTACTAGTTATTTGCAGAAATCTGTGCTTATAATTTAAGCCTTGTATAAAGGTTAAAACTAAGGCCCAGCTTTTTATCACTGCTGAAACTGTCAATAAAAAGAATGAATACCAGCCAGAAGAAATGTTTTAAAATACGGAAGGTCTAACTTGTTGTTGCTTTTTTTAAAATAGATTTTTGAGTTTTATTAAAATTTCACATGAACAAGAACTAAGAAATAGAATCACATCAAAGAACAAATTGTCATTGTTTGGACATGTACATCAAACAAATTTTGTAGGACAGATTTCAAAAAGGCGTGGAATTTTAACATTTAAAAGCATAGTTAATCTGTTTCTAGGAATGCTAAACATATAGTCTAAGCTTATTTTCAAAACAAAAAACCTTAAGACTGTTCGCTTTAATTTTTTAAGACTACTAAGGCAGAGCACTAGCTTGTACTTTATTTATAGTATACTTCATACACTTATGAAATCTGTTCTGAATCCAGAAAAATAGAACTGTCCAAACCAAAGGTTCTGATGTAACAGATTGTTTTGAAGCTAAAATGAATCCTGGACCGATAAAAGCATTGTAACCCCATAATAAGGGAACTCCACAACCCCAAACAATGTCCAAGAGCACTTATGAAAAGAAGAAAGATAAAAAGCCTGGGCTATATACACAGTGATTTCTTCAGCTCAATACAGATGGCAGCAAACTGCCCTCACAGATGAAAGAGTTAAGGCAGCTTTGTCTTGAAGAATGTAGCTCTAGAGCCAGTCACACCTGGCCAGTACCCTTGTCCAGCCCTTCTCACTTGTCTGTTCCCACTGTTGCCGCTAAATATCCTGATAAAATTCTTGTTGTCATTATTGTAACCATAGTTAACAGAATAGTTAACACCTGTTGAGGCAGTGCTGATCTGTGGGTTAGGAACATGGTTCTGTTAGTTGTTGGCCTCATGACATTCTGGAATCAGGCTGGTTGTATCCATCTGCTTTCTTCTTTCCTCCTACATTGCCCCCTCAGTTGCCCTGAGCGCCACAAGGACAAGGGCCTCTCTACTGTTCTACAGGTCTTGAGCCTCTTGGTGATCTCAAATGTGCCCATCCCCCTGTTGTTGGGGGCCCTGCTACCCAGCTCCCCAATAATCACACACAGAGATGTATTATGACTTATAAATGCCTGTCCTTAGCTTGGCTTATTTCTAGCCAGCTTTTGTCTTTCTCTATTTCTGTATACCTTGCTTTACTCTTACTCCTTGTCTTGCTGTGCAGCTGGGTGGCTGGCCCTTCAAGTCCTCCTTTTCTTGTTTCTCTTCTCCCAGATTTTTCCTTCTATTTACTCTCTCTGCCGGCCAGCCCCACCTGTTTTTTCTTTGCCTTGCTATTGGCCGTTCAGCTCTTTATTAGACCAATCAGGTGTTTTAGACAGGCACAGTAACACAGTTTCACAGAGTTAAACAAATGCAACATAAAAGAATGCAACACAGCCAGGCGGTGGTGGCACACACCTTTAATCCCAGCATTGGGGAGGCAGAGGCAGGCGGATCTCTGTGAGTTCAAGGCCAGCCTGGTCTACAGAGCGAGATCCAGGACAGGCACCAAAACAACACAGAGAAACCTTGTCTCAGGAAAAAAAAATACAACACATTTTGCATCATCAAACAAATTTTCCACAGTATAAACAAATGTAACACATCTTAAAATAATATTCCACCCCACCACCACCACGCCACCCCCGTGAATAGCTAGCTCTACCCCGTAGACATGGTGCTCCCCATGCCTTGGTGGTAGTGTAACACTTCACCCTCCCCATCCTCCTCTCACTGCCTAGCCGTCGTCATAACCATAGTAGGGAATCTTCCTATCCTCTATGATAGTCATGGTAATCATAACCATAGTCATCGTCATAGTAGCCTTCATAGCTGTACTAATCTGGAGGGTAGCCATATCCACCTCTCCCTCCACCATGGCCTCAACATCTTATTTGGAGCAATCTTCATATATATTACTTCTGGAAGCCTGCCTAGCAACTTGGCACTTTCCTTTTCTTGTGTGGTGGCTGAGCTGAGACAGTTTCAATCCCCACTTCTGTTTCTTTGCTATTCATTTCATTCATAGCCTCAACAGTAGCTCTTCTGTCTACAAAATGAAGAAATGCATAATCTTGTGACTTCTTCACTCTCTCCAGCTTTCCAAACTCAGAAAATGACTTTTCCAATACTTCTTCTGTCATTGTAGCAACCAAGTTTCTCATCAAACTTTACCATAGCTGGGACTTCCGGATCTGGTTCTTCCACAGGGTCAGCCCATCCAACTGTGTCTTCGTCAGTGTCCTGTTGCTGTGAAGAGTCACATGACCATGGCTACTCTTAGGAAGGAAAACACTTAATTTTGGCTGGCTTACAGTCCAGAGGTTTAGTCCATGGTCATCATGGCAGGAAGCATGGCTGCACACAGGCAGACATGGTGCTGGAGAGGCAGCTGAGAGTTCTACATCTGGGTCAGCAGGCAGCAGGAAGTGAGACACTGGGCCTGGCTTGAGCTTCTGAAACCTCAAAGCCCACCCTAGTGACTCACTTCCTCCAACAACAAGAGCCTGGTGACCAGGCTCTCAGATCTGAGTCTGTGGCCATCCCTAGTCCACTTTCACTTTCCCACTGTCAGCCAGCATCTGGCTTATGCTGCTGACTGGTGATCTTCATTTTCTGTCATCAGGTTGATGACAGACAATAACATCCACCAAACCCTGTTAAACCTGCGACTTCACTGAACTCGTCCAGAACGTTTTCTTTAGTCTCATTCTTTGGATTGGATCCAACAAAAAGTCTGTTGCCACAGAAGTGCGCACCCCCAGGTGTTTGCCAGGATGAATTCCATAGCTCTCACACAGTTCAACATAGAAAGTTCTGTTGGGGTGAAGATAGTCGGTTTGGCCAAAAAGCACATTGAAGAGCCTTAAAAGCTGTATGGTCGCCAGGAGATGGTGGTGCACGCCTTTAATCCTAGCACTCGGGAGGCAGAGCCAGGCAGATCTCTGTGAGTTTGAGGCCAGCCTGGGCTACCAAGTGAGTTCCAGGAAAGGTGCAAAGCTACACAGAGAAACCCTGTCTTGGGGAAAAAAGAAAAAAGCTGTATGGTCATCATACTTTCTGGCTTAGGTGAAGGGGGTTCTGTATTAATAAATGTTAATTCTTTTTTCTTAGCGTACCTCGGTATGATCAGCCTCCTCCCATCACATACCAGCCACAGCAAACTGAAAGAAATCAGTCCCTCCTGGTCCCTGCAAATCCTTACCATACTGCAGAAATTCCTGACTGGCTTCAGGTTTACGCCCGAGCCCCTGTGAAGTAAGTGAGCACACAGCGCCAGTATCTTGGGGTCTCTAACAAGCTCAACTTAAGGACCACGCTTAGCTGGGCAGTGGTGGTGCAGATCTTTAATTCCAGCGCTTGGGAGGCAGAGGCAAGTGGATGGATCTCTGCATTCTGGTCCAGCCTGGTCTAAGACAGTCAGGGCTACACAGATAAACCCTGTCACGGAAAAAAAAAAAAAAAAAAAAAAAGCAAAGTACTATGCTTTTCTTCTAATATTGGACCTCTGTGTAACATTTAAGAAAGGATATCAGAGGTTATAAAATTTGACTCCTTGATTAGAAGTAAGAATTCATGAAAGATGTCTGAATCCTTATTACTTTGTGTGCAGATCTCTGGTAATTGATACCTAAGAATACTAAGTATGGACAAGTTTAATTTTTGTTGTTTTCTTTATTTACATTTTTATAAGATTAACATGTAAGTTGATGTAGTTACTTATAACCAAAAAAGAACCCAGGTAAGAGCTTGGTACACTGATGAAACTTTCACTCAAAGCAGAACACTCTGGGAAATGGAGTTCTTTGTTAGGAATACGAGTTTATTTCAGAGAAATCAGATAAATTAAACTACCTGAGTGACAGCAGTTCTGGGAGACACCTGAGACGGAACTGCTTCTTCACCCACTCCAGTTCACAGGAGTTAGAGTGCCCAGAAAAGAGAAGAATATCCAGGCTTCTGCAAAGAAACCAGTCTTCTGTTAGTGAGTTTTCATCCTCAAGGAAGAGAATACAAGTGGAAGTCTACTGAAAAGCTTCCTGGGGCTTTGCTGGTGTTCCTGGTGCACACACCCAAGATGGCTGTAACTGTGTGCTGGCTGGGCAGCTTGCAATAACTGCTCATTGTCTTGTTTTTGAAGCCATATATATTTTTATATTAGATGGATGGTCCTTTTGGAATAAAATGGCAAATGTACCTATTAGCTAGGATATAGTGATTATTAAAAAGAAATCTACTAGAATTTGTAATCAAAGCTTCCTTTTATGTCTGCCCTGCAGTGATTTGAGATGATGGATGACATCAATATAATAGGCACATGACTTGCTATGTTGACATTCCTCTAATAATGGACATTCACCCTGAACACTGTAATAGGATGTGGTTTTTGGAAATTACAGAACCACTATAGACTGGAGTTGGTATTAATGGTTGCCCAGGACTAATTTTTAATCTGAAGTAATATTTAACAGTTTTTTTCCCCCTTCCTTAAAAAATAGTGTATCTGGGACTGGAAAGATAGCTCAATTGTTAAGACCATTGGCTACTCTTGCAGAGGACCCAGGTTCAGTTCCTTAGCACCCACACGGCAGCTCACAACTGTCTAAATTTCCAGTTCCAGGGAATCCAGTACCCTTTTCTGGTTTCCATGGGCACCAAGCATGCATGTGGTGCATAGACACATCATGTGGGCAAAAAAACACCCATGCACATAAAAATAAATCTTAAAAAAACTCTCTCAAGTTTAAAAAAAAGTGTACTTAGGGCTGGAGAGAGAGCAGTTAGGAGTGCTTGCTGCCTTTGCAGAGACTCTGGTTCAGTTCTCAGAACCATATGGTGACTTAATGTGGAAGCCCACAAAAGTATCCTAGGTGAGATCTGAGCTTGCTTTACCCAGCAGGGCTGCATTAGAGGATTGCTTGGCCATGTGCATCGTTACAAGGTGATTGGAAGGGTCTACACTTGGCTGAGCTAGGGGGAGGTCTTTGCTCCACCCCCTTGGCATTCCTATAAATAGCCCTTTAGAAGAGACAGGAGGGGCCAGTGGATAAGGATCCAGGCCCTCCCGAGGCTATCCTGTCTTTCTGTTTCTTTCCCCTCTATCCTTCTACCTCTATATTTCTACCTCAGTCTCTTATCCCTCTTCATTTAAGAGTTCCCTGTCATAGAAAAGTGGGAGCTGTTCTCCCACAACTTAAAACTGTAACTCCAGTTCCAGGAGATCTGACATCGTATCTGGCTTTCTTGGGTACCAGGCATGCACACAGTGCAGTTACATGCATGCAGGCAAAGCCTTCATACGCATAAAAATCTGTAAAAGAATTTAAAGAGAGGGAAGAGGAGAAGTAGTGTATTTAGAACCATGTGTATTATCGTGCTCCTGTATTCCCAGCTACTGAGGAGGGTGGAGTTCAGGGTCAGCGCAGGTCCCCAACTCAAAAAAAAAAAAAAAAAGTTTTACTAACTCAAATATTTTAAAGTAAAACTTAGTTTGTTTACTTGTAATAAAAATGTCTATAAAATCTAGCAGTTTATTGTTGTAAATGCACATTTATGTATTCTGTTATGAACACTGTTTTATGACAGATATGACCACATTTTGAAGTGGGAGCTCTTCCAGCTGGCTGATCTGGACACGTACCAGGGAATGCTGAAGCTGCTCTTCATGAAGGAGCTGGAGCAGATCGTTAAGCTGTACGAGGCCTACAGACAGGCTCTTCTCACCGAGCTGGAAAACCGTAAGCAGAGACAGCAGTGGTATGCCCAGCAGCATGGCAACAAGTTTTTCAGTTAATTTCACCCCAGTCCAAGCTTCCTAAGAGCTTCGAATATTTTCAGATAAACGACTGCAAACAAGTACTTTGGTTAATAAAGGCAACTTACTATTTGGAATTAGAAAATTCTAGTTTTACATATATTTTGTTACCAATTTTTTTTTCTTGTATTGAACCAAAAAAACAGTTTTATCATTTAAAGAGCCAATATGGCATACACTTCCAAATGCTGTATATTAAGAAACTGCTTTGAATATTCTTGATGAAAAAGAGTACAAGAAGAGAATATCATCATAACCAGGCATTTAGCAAACAACCACTCTTTCTTCTTATGGAATACACTCTTCTTGTTCAGAGACAGGAAGAGGGTGAGCACATTTTTGAAAACTTGCTTATTGTGGTGTGAAGTACTTTCTGGAATAAGGTGGATTGACCGTTACTATGAGTATAGCTCAAAATACAAAATAGGACTTGGAACCTTTCTTGTGATGAACTTGTGTATGATGTATGTGGTCATCTCGCCCTCCTCTTCCTCCCTAATGTAAGGAGCACCTTTGAAGTGGGGTGATAAAGCCTTTCAGCAATACGTTAACCACAAGGCCTTAGCCTGTGTGGGGAAGGCGTGTGCACCTGTTGCCAATACTGCCTCCTTCCTCTGAGCCAGAGCACACAACTCCAGTTAGCAAGGCTCTGGTGAGACACAGGGCAGGCTTCCTGACCACATAGCTCACTGCCTTCCACCAGGCTCGGCCAAGTTGCCAAAACTGACAATCAGGGATCCAGTAAGAAATCTTGGTCACTTGTGAGTTTTATATTGCTTTTTTTATCTTAGAGAAGTATTCATTGTAAAGGTCTAGAAACAGGTCACTCCTTCCCGTTTGTCTTGCTTTTGGCTTAATAGTTGTTCATAATTAAGAGCCAAACACTTGGTTAAGATAAGTTTATGGACCTGCAGCTGTAACTCTAGACTTCTGAGTTTCATAGCTCTTCAGCTCTGCTTACAAGTGTTGTGAATATGTATATAGTTTAGTTTTCCCAAATGCAAGCACTCTCTGTTAGAAGTGAGTTCGAATTATTGATAAAATATTGTGTTTGATTTTATATGACAAGTTATTAAATATATTTTTGTGGAAACCATCTGGTCCTTGAGTCCATGTTTCAGTGTTTCTGATTCAGTACAATGTTTGATGCTTTTCTGTTCAGAAGGCGCATAAGCCAAGGAAGCCTACAATGAAAGGGGGGTGGAAACCGAAATCTGACTGGTGGACGTTATCAGTGAGCATAAGGCCAGGTGCTTCTAAAGTGTAACTGATGTACAGATGCGAACTTGCACGTACTCTCCTGTCTCTACTGGCCTTTGGTCACCGTTACTGAGACAATTAAACCTGTTTGGGGCTCCCAGATAGATAAGGGCATGACCTTTTCCCCATTACCACTCTCCCCTCCCACCGCCCTTCTTTGTTTGTTTGTTAGAAACAGGCTTTCTCTGTGGAACAGTCCTGGCTGTCCTGGATCTCGCTCTGTAGCCCAGGCTGGCCTCAAATTCACAGAGATCCACCTGCCTCTGCCTCCCAAGGGCTGGGATTAAAGGTGTGCACCACCACACTCAGCCTCCCACCTCGTTTTATTTTCCTCTCGCATTTGGTTTACTTACTAAAACTCCACTAAAGATTTCAGTCATCAGAAATCAATTCTAGGCCCCCTGGTTTGTATGAACATGAAGGACACTGTGGAGAGAGCACATGCTGTGTCCTCAGGGTTGGGGGGCAGGAGGGGCACAAGCTGAAGCCAGCCTAAGCTGCACAGCAGGGTTCTGTCCAGAAAAATAAAGCAATACACTTTTTTTTTAGCTTGTGTTTCTTAAGTTTGAAATGGTATCAGAAATAGTGTGTGGTCATGCCACCCTGACAGCCACTCTCCTCTTGAAATGGTATCAGAAGAAAATGCATCTTGAATTAAAGTAGGATAAGCCCTTCATGCCACAGCAGCACCTCCCAAATAGTTGCAGAGTCAGCGAGCATTTGTTTTAATGTTAGGAACCAGGGTAAAGTTTAATAGTTCACATATTAAAAGAATAAACCTATGAGAATACATTTCCGGTGTACCAAATGAAAAACTATACAGAGCCGTGAAACTCAAACACACGTACAAAACAACTTTTGTGCATTTTTAATCAAGAGACTTACATTCTATATTAAGTCATAAATATAAAAAGAAACAATGTATCGTTTTGGTAAAGCAACTTTTAAGCTCTTAAATATATTTCAAGATAAGAGCCTGTGGTATGTATAAGATTATATAGAGGAAATCAAGCCTGCTGAGTTACGCTGTGCTTTAACAAATAGTTACACAAAATAACTTAAATTTCCTATAGAAATTAAATGAGCATATCCAAACCTGGAGTGGTATCACACAATATTTAATTATAACCCAGTAGTAGAACTTAGTGAAGTCAAGGAGAACACCTCTACTGTCCTCCAGTTTACAAATACCTGAAATGATAACAGCGTATTTAAAGACGAAAATCAGGAAACTGCACATATTAACAAATACCCATGCATACATACATCTGCTTATTAATCACTGGAGGAAAGAATTGGACTGCTCGAGTTCTCAGGCGTTTGGCTTTCACTCTGTTCTGAAGGAAGCACTTTGAATGTTTGCATGGAAACAAAAGCTCTGATAGTCAAGTGACAAATGGTCATGCACCTGCATTTGTTTTTACTGACTTAAATTTTCTTCTTTTCTGGTTGTTCAGTAGGCTCTGACTTTGGTGCAGGAAAAGCTTGATGATACAGGTGTCTGTGGGTTGCTGCTGCACTGTAAAGCTTGTATAAAGCCTAGAATATAAGAGTCGGGTATAAAACATTAAGCACACAGGTATAGCTTTTTCCCTTTTTAGCTTATAGTACTATATAAAATACAGCATGCTGAAGTCACATTTTAAATACATTTTTGTATATGGTATGCATGCATGTGTGGATGTGGGTAGAGGCCAGAAGTTGTTGGTGTCTTCCCCTATTGCTCTCCACATTATATATGAGGCAGGGTCTCTCACCCAATTTGGCCAGTCTAGCTAGCAAGCTTATCCAGAGAATCCCATCTCTACCTTCTAAGCATAGGGATTATAGGTGAATCACCACATCCACTTGACATTTAAGTGGCTATTGGAGACTTGAACTCGGGTCCTTACTCTCGGGTGGCAAAAGGTTTACCCACTGAGCCATCTTCTCAGTCCTGAATTAATGTTCTTTATATCATTATCTTCTATCAAACACAAACTAGCAGGGGTTGGAGAGATGGCTTAGCCGGGTAGAGCACTGGTTCATCTTCCAGAGGACTTGGGTTCAATTCCCAGTATCTACATGGTGGTTCACAACTACCTGTAATTCCAGTCCTAAGGGATCTGACACCCTCTTCTGGCCTCCACTAGATACTGCATGCAAATAGTACACAGCCTTACGTGCAGCTGAAACACTCACACACATAAAACAAACAGACCAATAACTACTATCTTAAAATGTAGTTTCAGTTCCCTGGCATGTGCTACATGCAGACATGCTCTGCCTGCACTTAAACATCTTAAACATCTCTTAGAATACTGTCTCCCAGTCCAACCGTTTCCCATGTCCCAGGGATATGTGGACATCTCACATTATAAATATTGCCAGTTTTAGAAAACTTAGACCTGTAACTTCCTGCTGTGAATCTATTTTCAGAACGGGCTACTTTTCCATTCTTGTGTATGTGCTGGGTCAGCTGAAGGGTATTGCTCCTTCCCCAAGCTGGGTTCCCTTATTCACACGTTCTGCCTGCCCTATTTCCACTTCAGAAAGCCTTTCCTCACTGAAATGACCTCCTCTGATTATTCCTTGTATTAGTTTAATGGTATTTGAATCAAAAGAATTTTAGGGGTTTTCTTAAGGTTGGGTTTCACCATGTGATGCAGATTAGCTTCAAATTTATTATCCTGCCTCCTCCACCTGCTGAGTGCTGGGATTATGGGCACATGCCACTGCACCCAGCAATCCTCTTTTTCCAAACTGCACATTTTTGGGTAGTCCAAGTATCTTAGTTTTTCCTCTTGGCTAGGGTGTGAGATCTATCTCCCCTGACTGTCACATACCAAACACTCAATTCAAACTCTTTCTGGAGTCTTTTGTTTTTGAATATTTTTAAGAACTGGGTAACAGCTTAATATTTACATAGCTATTCTCAAGAAGTTTTTCATCTGTGATTCTATATAGCTGTTTTTTTTTAAGATTTATTAATGTATTTTATGTATATGATGCTTTGTCATCATGTATGTCTTTCTATCAGAGGGGGGCACTGGATCCCATGGGAGTACAGTTGTAGACGATTGTGAGCCGCCATGTAGGTGCTGGGAATTGAACTCAGGACCTCTGGAAGAACAGTCGGTGCTCTTAACCACTGAGCCGTCTCTCCAGCCCCTAGAGCTGAACACAGTAAGTGCGGATGGTGCTGTGTTCAGTTCTCTAAATGTGGTCAGTACAGTGTGGTATCATCCTAGTCTGTCACATTCTGCTTCTGGTAGACTTGGTTTAATTCCAGTTCTCTTCAAGCATTAGGTCCCCCACCCAAGGTTTTATGTACAAAGTTGAAATTTGTTTTGTTTTCCTAGTGAGTTTATTTACTTTTATACAAAGTAGCTGTTATTGACTTTAAAATATTAAATGTTCCACTGGTATTTGATTAAAGGACATAATTCACTTATAGAGTCAAGCAGAAACTGAGAAAAGAATTACTTGTTGTTTGAGATTAGCTTTGAAGAAAATGATCCAACACTTGTATAGACATACTTTTTCTTAGTGTAATTGTTTCTTTCTGGAAGCTCAGCTTCTTTCCATGTGCACATGGAGAGGAGGAAGGAATGCTAGTTCACAGGCCAGGTTTGAGGTGTGCAAAGAAGGCATGTGTGCATCCTGTGATGGAGCCCTCTTAAAGTGGGCTAATGAGTACTGTCAGCCCGAAGCCAAAGTCCTTAATGGTGGCAGCTGCATCGGAATACCCTCTGAGACAGCATTTACTCAGATTGCAGACCGCGGGCTTCACTGCAGAAGAGCAAAGGACACCGCCATGGTCGGTCTCCATTGCCAACCTTGGGGAATTTGGATCCCTATGGAAACATCTCTGGGTATTTCTATGAGGTTGTTTCCAGAAAGATTAACTAGGCAGAGAAGACCCACCCTCAGTGTGGGCAAGACTATCTAGTCCGTGGGCTGTGGTCCCAGAGGGAATTCAAAAAGAGAAAGATGCTGAGCACAGTGTCCATCTTTCTCTGCTCCCTGCCTGCAGCTGCCTCAGGCTTCTGCCACCATGCCTTCTCTGCTGTGGTCTCCTCTTCAGCTGAGCCAATGAACCCTTCGCTCCTGCTTGCTTCCTCTTGTCCAGTATTTGACCACCATGGGGAAATCAAATCATGCAACATTAGAGCTTAACCCACAAAATTTTCTACATAGGAACTAAAACAAGCACTCTTTAATGACACTTCTGTGCAAGCTAAATCCTACATAATATTTGGAATATGTTAAAAATTCATATAGACTTATATTCTAGAGAAGTATTTTCTAAGATATCCTATAATACCTAGTAGTTGTAAACAGGAACATCACATTACATTTACAAATATATATCTTAGTTAAAAATGTTAACTCACCTCATTTGTGCTTCCCTGTAGCAGAGGCAATTTTAAAAGGAAGAGTTATAGTTTGTTTAATAACATAATTTTCAACTTCATCTGCAATATCAATTGTGAGCATTAAGACAAATACTCCTGAAGATTCATCAGTTTAGATTCCATATTTTACAAAAATACTTTAAAGAACCAGTTCTGTATTTCTGATAGGTTTTACCGTTGTGTTCTAGGAGGGTCTTGAAGTTTACACAGATACCTGTCTTTAGCTTTGTGTGCTGAGATACTGAGTAGCTTGGGATCCAGATGAGCTGCATTCACTCCCCATGTGCTCTCATCAGTTCATTTCAGCTTGATTCCTCCAAGGCACACAGCTCCTTAGCTAACATTCTATTGTGGAGTACAGACAGTGTGCTCTTCATGCTGGGTGGGGGTGTTGCTACTATTAGCTACCTCTAGACCACAAATGTTCAAAAGCTTAAAA